GTGGCTCACACAGCTTAGTGTTGTTTTATCACTAGTTAATAGTTCTGTTGTTTTGTGATCTGTTGTCTTTATTGGACAAAAACTACTTGCGAGTAGTTTTTTGCGAGTATAAATGTGAGGTCATCAGTCAGCCTTTTAATCAGTGATAATCCCAGTGTATCATAGACAACAAACCCAGCTTTCCTCTCTATCTTCAAAGTAGAGATCCTGGTTTTCTAGCCTCCTTCCTTATTTCTTCCTGTATATTTTTGATTCTCATTGTATACTCAAGTCCTCATTTCTTTTTTAACCTCCCTTCAGTTAATGGTTGTCAGCCATTCCCATCAGACTAAATGTTCATTAATGTATGATCAATGAATATATGGATGTTATAACTAAGAAATGTACAAGAAAGTTAGGCTAAACAGGTTACCACACTAAAGAAGAATGGGCGGAAAGCTTACCCTTGTCCTGGGCTCGCTGAGAAGACTCCAAGGGGAGCCATCTCCAAAAGAGATCCTTCCCCACTGGCAGTCAGCTCTTAATTGGTGTTGGAGAGGTGGAGCCAGGCTTCACCCCTTCTGGCAGCACGGATGAATTGCCTTCACTTCTGCTCCCATGGCTGACATGTTGCTTGCCTCAGGTGGTCAATCAGAGGTTCAGGCTGTAAATTTAGCTAGTAGATTTTTATTCTTTGGAGTCAACTGTAAGCTGGACCATGAAAGAAACTATTTGTTGATTTCTCTCCTGTTTCTTAATAATATGCACTGGGGAGGGGAGCAGGAAGTTGTTGATAAAGCTGTGTCATGAAATATGAGAGTGGTGGCAAGTTTGGTTAGCTATTGTGGCAACATGGGGGAATGTTACTTTTCTTGTTCAGTCTTAATAAGTTTTATCTCAAGTCAGGATTTTTCTGTTTTCTGAGTGTGTAGGAGACCCTTATTTTTCTATCTTCATTTCTAAAAATGTGATATTTTTTACAATGAATGATCATCCTATAATAGATCTCCTGGAGCGCTCTGCTTTTGAAGCGATAATGAACTTCAGCCTAATTGAAGGTGAGTTCTGTTCAGCACTTCCAGAAATCAGAAGAAGAGATGCCATAGCCGTATTTACTATATATATATTTTACTATATTTCGTCTTATGGTCAAAACTAGGTGACAATGGAGAGCCACTTCCTACCAGTTCTTTGGTGTTATGGGTGCAGGTTAAAATACTTATTTTGTCCTATGTGGTACCAAGGACAGTTCTATTTAAGACTAATGTAGCAACAGTACTATTCTGATCTAGATTTGCTGTCCTCCTAATAGAACAATATATTTCTGGAAACTTTAATTAAAAGAATTTCAGAGCACTGACAAAATTTTGCAGCTATGAGTATATTGACTTTCACCAGATGTCTCTCTGATGTTCCAGCAGCTGTTGAGGAGAGATTCACATGGTTTGAGTGTGAAACTTGACACAGGTGTTCCTCTGGTCGTAAGAGGTCTCTTTAGAGAGTAATTTGGGTATCTATATTAGATTTAGGCTTCAAATCTCTTTTTGGAGAGACTGTCACTTTAGGTAACAGTGGGAGCCTGGGAAGACTGCTGTCTGGGATGATATGAGTTTGTTTCATTCAAGCCAACTTTTACTGTTATCATCTGTGGGGATAGAGAAGGGATGGAGTGTGAAGGTGACAAAATCCCTCTTTTCAATGTGTGAAGCTATGGGAGGTGTGCATCTCTTTCATGTTTGCAAGACAGAACTTAGTCTCTATGAAAATGTTCATCATCTGCCTTCCACCTTTTTCTGGTTTTACAGTTCATGGCAGAGTTGAAACCTGACTAGCATTTAATTGGTATGTTTTTAATTTGTGTATCTTCAGAATCCATTTACACTTCTGTTGTGTCTGGTCAGAACCAACCCACTGTTATGTTGAAGTAGTGCAGTGTTCAGTGAGAAAACTAGCAGCTTTAAGTTTTGATATTTTCTGTGCGAAAGTGAACACAAAATAGTCCTAGATATGCATAATCTGCATATTAAACATGGTAGTGAAAATTCGTGAGTTGCCAGTAAAATTTTAATATTCTAACATGAAACTCCACATTTAGTACAGTCCTTAAAGGTCTCATTAGACCAAAGCAGTCTTAACTCTGTCCTTTTAGCTGTTAATCTTGCACTATCTAGTGCACCATGGAGCAAGCATGCTGAAAAGTACTGAAAACAATAAAAGGCAGGGTTTTCTTAGCTCTAGCAATACATAGTTCATTGACTTGCTGTCACGTCAGACAGAATGACTAGACACTGCACCAGAGTCCTGTCAAATGGTCTTTGTATTTATTCCACTTCACAGTTTTCTTCCTGTTAGTCTGCCTATTGTCAAACCAATAAATGTTAACTCATTACCTAACTCACCTCTGTGTGATGCAAACTTTTCCCTGTATGCCAGGCAACTTTCTCACAAGAGACTGATGTCGGTGCTTCTTGTAAGGGACAAAAGGTATTCTTAAAGAGCAACTGAGAATCTCAACAGGAATTTTCATTTCTGAGAGAGAAGTCTGGTCTTCATTACCTACATAAGAGGAGGCCCAGCATTTAATTTGTACCTTCTCATCTGTCTATCTCAGCTGTACAGTGTCGTGGTTGCCTGTTGTCTTTCAGGACTGGCATTTTGCTGACTCTTAAGAAGTTAAACAGTGGGACTGAATCATGAGCAGTAATGATTCTTCAGTCCTTGTAATGAAGTTAATACTAAAATCCTGGTAGTGCAAATGACATAACTAAGTGATGTGCATTTGTCTTCATGACTGCCTCATCAAGGGCAGATGTTGCTAGGAGCTAATAGGGTCTGTTTGGATCCATTCTTGTTCTCTCAACTGGGACACCTTGCGATATAGAAGGGCTGGCTTGCTGGGCAGGATTCATCTGAGCTATAATGAATTCCTCCCTGTCAAGCACTTATTTTCTGAAGGACAAGTTCAAAGGAATAGTTCAGGAATATATGCAAATTTATGTAGTGCTTCTGGGTTATTATTCTTATCAGTACACGTTCCATGAGATATCCCTCACTTAAAGTTGCTACAACTTGTTTTAAACCTCCATGCTTTGTTTTGCTACACTTTAGGCAACAAACATGGTGTTGGTGATTTGCTGCTAATCACCAGGTAGGCTAGCTGGGTTTTTGGTATAGATGCTCTTTCTGAATGTTTCTGTTGACTTCTTAAAAATAACTGTATCTGGCAACAGTTCTGCTCCAAGTGGTCACATCTATTTGCAGATGATGGCAAGGTAAGTAAGTTAACTCTGCAACTGCTGCAAGTGTGGGGAGTATCTTATCTGTGTTGCAATTTGTGCTAGATTCTAGTAAGTGCAGAAGATGTGGTACTTGCAGAAGAGGACTTGCATTAAAAGTTTTAAATGGGAGGCAATAACTGGTTATGTATCAAGCTCACAAGAAAGAGGCATTTCACTCTTGCAGATCAATATGGTGTGTGTGTTGTCCTAGCAACCTGGCTTGTGTTCACTATAAAGGAGATTAAGGGGGAAACTGAAAGGAATTGATATTTCACCTATTTACAAGATACTTCATTGAAAACTGAATGAGTATAGGAGAGAGAGTTGAGGCTTTAGGCTTGAAAATCTGACAGATAGGCTAGAGAGATTCTTGACAGTCAGAAGTGAGCCTGTTGGTACTGACCGCGGTGAGGAGAATTGTTTCAGATACTAGAGAGAGCTTTAATTCTTAAAATTAACTTATGTAATTTGAGGTTGCAGAGTTCATTATTATGGGGAAATAAAGGGGGAACCAAGGATGTAACTAAGGAATTAAGGACTTGAAGTAAATGCAGCTCTTTTATTGTCCTTCTCTGTGGCCTTTTGTTATGTTAATTTATCTTACAGCCTATATCTGACAAAAGGACCAGTTTATGGATACAAAAGGTCTGTGTAAGTACTAATTATTTTCTTAGCTCTACGATAGAGAAAGGTAATTAGATTTAGATAATCTCTTTCGAGGAAGGTCTGTAAAGCCAAACTGATATCTGGCCCCTTGTCCTGCTATTGAGCTGACTCCCACCGTATGATCTGCCTTGTGGATCTGCCTTGTGCAGTGCAGGTTATCTTGTTGCTTGTGCTCCTGGATGGAAGTGAAAACATGCCCCATACCCATGGTTTTCTTTGTTTGCTTTGGAGTTTTTCTTTATTTTTACAACATCACCGTAACTCTATTGTTATTTTTAAATTCAAAATTCATATTATTTCTGCTGATTATTTAGGCGCAATCAGTACGTTGTAGAAGAAAAAGAGCATGAGACTTGAAAGTTGTTCACTCTTGCAATCAGGAGACTTGCTGAGAATTTCTATTAACAATTCTTCAGCTGCTAGAAATAATAATAGAAAAAGTAAGCTGGAAGATGAGGGCTGAACAAAGCTTGCTTCCGTTCCTCTGTGTCTTGTGGTTCTTTTGTTCCTCACTGAAGTTTGAGGGGGGAGAGTTGATGAAGTTTTGGTCTGGGCATGTTATCAATGTTCACCGATCTTTATTTTAGTTAGGAATTAAGAAAAAGCAAATGTAGAGTTTGTGCTCTTAATGTATTTACTCAAAGGGTATATCAGCCTATGGTTGTATCTGGATTAAAGAAAAAAAAGTCCTCTAAGCAGTTCAAGAAAACGATTCTATTACTGGCTTGCTGAGAGAGGATTAATTAGGAAATGTCTTCCCTTATCTGGCTTTCTAGATGTTACAGTGGTTCACTTCCTCTTAGTAGAGGAATATACAGAGTAACACTAGTTACTGTATTAAATAGTTTTGTTTGTTCTCTGAGGTTTGGTATTCCATTTAGATTTGAAGTTATTTGCTAGACAGTTTTTCACTTATCTCATGACAAGATTAGCTTGAAATAACATGTAACAAGATGGGTTATTTGAATAACTAAAAGTCAGGAAGAATCTTGAATTTTGAGAGATCTTCAGTAAGACCTTTTTACATAAATACTAGTCTTACTTTGCATACTTTTTATCCCCTTCCCTTTTCTCCAGTACTGATACTCGAAAAGGTGGAAAATGGAGATCTGAGCAACAAGATATTGAAGATCACGGATTTCGGCTTGGCCAGGGAATGGCATAAAACTACCAAAATGAGTGCAGCTGGGACATATGCCTGGATGGCTCCTGAGGTCATCCGCTCCTCCATGTTCTCCAAAGGCAGCGATGTGTGGAGGTATTGATTTGGCATTAAGTGTTTGGATACTGAAGACCTACTAGGAAATGTATTTTGTTGGAGAATGAGTGATGAAGCAAATATTAAAATTCTGGGGTTAAGAAAACCGTCCACTGGCTTTCCATGAACCTGACTTTGAGACTACTTTGGTATTAATTGTAAACGCTTTTTCCCTGCAGAAATTTGTGGATCACCTCCTGTGTGCTTCCAGATTTTTGTTGTTCCTTGCATTTACCTTCATCCTAGGATTCATAGCCTCCATTTAACTATTGGCTATCATAAAGACATAAAACTGAGCTGTGAAGTACTTAAAGTTGCTGATTTTTTTTTTTTTTTTTTTTTTAAGATTTCCCAAGATTAAGATTACTTAATTTTGATTGTAATTTGTCACAATGCATATGTGCACAATTACACAGTACTTCACGAAGTTCTCCCTGCAGTTTCAGCTTGAGCACAATGTTTTTTTCACTTTCATAATGAGCTCATGAATTATTTATAACTTCCTACTCTTTCTGCATAAAACAACACATCTCTTCTGCAGGTCAGTCTGAGTATGTGATCAATGAGTAGTAATTTGTGTGCATTGTCTTTTCCGTTTAGGATCTATGATTTTTGAGAATAGGAACTACTTTGGTGGATAGGAGCTGCTTTGATAAGGATTGGCCCATAGAAAAAAGTAGAGTTTGAGTATGTCTCTTAAGTGAGTTAAATGCAGAATTCAGTAAACAGCTCATTGTTGTCCTAGGATAATGACATTTCTGGATACTGTGAGACACAATTAGTACTAAAAATCTGAAACAAAGTAGGTAGAATTTTGTTTTCCTGCATGGGGCGGAGGTATTGAAATGCTGAATTGACCAGGTCTTTAGAGCCATAAAAATCTCTCATTAGTTATCAGTGCTCCCACAAAGTACGTGCATGCTGTGAAATATGCCAGGAGGAAGAAATATTCCAGCTGGAAGAATTATGTGGCTGTTACAGAAGATATTTGGTGCGGAGTTCTTATTTTACTTATCTAGTTATGCAGAATAGATAGATAATTTATTTCCTTTTACGCATACATGTGAGCTTGTTCTGCACGTATTGGTATGGATTGACTTAAGACTATCATTAAATGTGCCTACTAACCCCTATTAGTAATCTGGGAGGAACTGTGAAATAACTGAGTGAATTCTGGCAGAAATAACAAACTGACAGTACTGGTTTGTAATTTTTCTCCTCTGAAACAGTGCCAGGAATTGCCTTTAAGGGCAGGAGGGAGGAAGGAAGAAGGAAAGCTGGAAACAATTCCTCTGTGACTGTAACTTTACTAGTCTGTGCGTACTGAACAGATCACAAGATGCTCTGCTCCAATATGGCCTCATTTAAAAAAAAAAAAAAAAAAAACCAAAAAACAAAACTAACTTAGACTGTAAATCATGTGTAAATATTTCTCAGCTTCTCAGAAGTAAATTTCTAAAATTTTCGTCACTTTATAGTGATTTCTTTATAGTTAGCAGTCTTTCATTGAACACAGGTTGAATTCCTCTCAGTACTTTTCCTTAAGCAGGGTAATCATCACTGAAAGTGCTATGATATATTGTCTATGAGTAAGCCCTCTACTGAGATGGCCAAAACTTCAAATTTTACTGAAATAAGCTGAAAAAGACATGGTGTTTGCAGCATCTATGTAGATGCTTGCCAGCATAGTCACTACCCACTGTGTCAGTGACTAAGCACTTGATTTTTGTGAAGGCAGCAGTGCACGTATGTATGTTATAAATCCTTTCCCCACCCATTGGCACAACTTGAAATTGTGAACAGAGTGAAATTTTTAAATCCTGTTTGATTTGATTCTTGTCCACTTCAGCTTCTTGGTTAATCACTGGTGTTGAGGGTGATTTCTGACTGATAAAAGACCTTCTAGTTAGTCTGTGTACCATCAACAAAACTGGAATATTTCTGTCCCTAACAATTACAGCACCTTTTATCTCAACACTTTTGTTGAAAAGCTTGTTAGAATAATACTAGTGGCTGAATTGTTGCCCAGCTTTTCAACAAGAATCTTATTGTGTATCTGTTCCCTCTGTACAAATGCAGGTAGCTGCTGAAGAAGGTGCTTGCCAACACTGAAATTTCCTGAATCAGTCTTTTATTCTGTCATAAATAATGTATTTGTACAATTCCTTTCAATAATGTATCAAACTCTTAACAACAACAACAAAAATCCCCATTCTACAGAAGTGCCAGCAAAGAACGTGAGAAGGCAGAGGAATACTCCCATGTGTTGATGTCTGCCACTACTATCACCATGGTCTTGGCTACTGTAAAGCTTGTTGACAATAATAGCACTTTGAGAATCTTGCTAGTTGTAGTCTGTCTTGCTATGAAAGTTATTGTGCCTCACCCATAAATTTTAGGTGTATAACAGAAACTTTGTGCTTATGTTGCACAGAGGACAAAAGCTACCATTTTGTGTAAGTGTCAGACAGTACCTGTAAGTCTAGCGATATGCTTGAGAGGAGAGTTAGGAATCCATTTTGGATTCTTGGGGATGAAAATGAAGTGCAGATATGACAGTTTATCCAGCATTGCACAGCAAGCTGATGTTTGTAGGAATCAAATTCAAATTTCCATGCCATTTAAATTTTTTGTTTACTACCAACTTCATTTTCGACCTGTGCAGCTTAAAAGAAGGTAATGTTGTCATCATATGAAGAAGATAAGGCACAACGTTACAGCCTTCATCTGAGTTCCTAAGGTTCCTCAATTCAGATTCATCTTAGAATTATCTACTCTGAGACCAGTTAAATAATTAGGAATTGAATCTCTATTTGGGAATGGAATACCAAAGCTAACAAAAAAGACCTGATTAGCAGATCAAGTTATTTCATGCATTCAGTGATGTAGATACTTTGGTCGCTGGAATACTTCATTTGAATCGATTGCTGGCAAGCACTTTCATCCTCACCTGACTGCTTGCAGGCTTCTGTAGACTTCTGTGTGGAATGAAGCACTGGCAAGATACTAATTCCTGGCAGATAGCGATTGACTAACAATACTGTTAGAAATTCATGTGAGAAAATCATATGTAACTGACAGTTGTGAAATAACTACATGTAAACTCTGGAACTACCAGTTGAATAATGTGCAGAAGTACTGTTAATGACCATTAAAAATTTAACTAAGTTCAATTTTTTTTTTGTCCTAGCAAGAGTAATATTCTAGTTTCTGTTGCTGCTGGTGTCTCCATGATGTGTTGATAGTGGCTTTATTATAGAAGGTGCTGCACCAAGGGCAGTGCAGAATAGGAACCTACGGTGGAAATGCCATTGAACAATAATAGCGAGAGGAATTTAGTGGGTTTTTTTTTTTTTTTAAAGTTCACAGATTGGCGAGGGAGGTGGCAAAATCACATCTGAAATCCTGCAGACCTCCAGCCTCCTCCTTCCACAGAATCCAACGTGTAAGATTGAACCTGATGTTAAATGGCTTAAGGGATTACTGGATCACTGGGAAATGGTTAATTATTCAGTGTCAGTTGACTTGAACACATGGTGTGTATCACGTGGTTCATTTTGTAATTAAAGTCCAAAAACTACTAATGGATGCTGGAAAAATAAATGAGCTTTCCTCCCAGTTGAGAATAAGCACAACTCGTTGATTCTTTCTTCCCAGGCCCTTTTCATGGAAATCTCTGTTCTTTTGCTTTATAATTCATTATAATCCTTTGCTTAGAGGATGAATGGAGAATACTCTTCTCAGCAGCCCCTCTCTTATTGCTTAGTCACAGAATCACAGAATCACCCGGGTTGGAAGGGACCTCAAGGATCATGTAGTTCCAACCCCCCTGCCTAGCAGGGCCACCAAACACACACATTCAGATCAGGATGTCACTTGGGATGATCTTTGTTAAAATGCCACTAGTTATGTGAAAGCAGTATTCTCAGCCTAGTTAGCTAGACTAGACTGGCTAGTTAGCTCAGTGACTACAAGTCAGCTAATAGGCACAAAGGGATGCCATTAGGTTCTCCAAGAAACAAACCGTGCTTTCCTGCAATATGTATGTCTTGTGTCATATTAAAAAAAATAAATGGACAGATCTATATTTAATCTTAAATATATATATATATATGCCCTGTATAAGAAATGTTTTGAGCATATCAGTAGCATTTTCCTAACAATTCCATGAGGGGAAGTATCTAATTCCTGCTTTATTCAGAACAAGTGGTAAAGTAATAGGACAGTCTACCGAGGAGTTAACTTTTGATATCAAAACTCTGAAAGCTCTCAACTCTGAAGAGTATCATGAACAATCAGCGTTAAACAGGACAAGTCCTGTATTCATTCAGCTCAGTATTCATTTTCTTTCAGTGTGCCTTTTATGCATCCTTGGAGGTCAAAAAGAAATCTGGTCTTTAAACTCCTGTTTCTGTTTTTCAAGTGAGGCAATTATTGTAGTAAGAAATGATGGAAAGAAATAGTTGATGGGACATTATAATATGAAAAGTGTGAATTATATAGGAAAAAATTCAAAAGGTTGTGTAGATGGAAAAGTGGTCTTTTGTTTTTAAAACGTAGGCTGTATTAGCAGTAAAGATGGAATCCTTAGCAACTCAGGTTTATTTCACGTTTAAATAGGAAAAGTTATCAGTAAGAGTTTCCAACTTGGGTGACTGCAGTTACAAGGAAAAGGTCTTGGTAGAAGTGGGATGGAGAGATGGCAAAAATAGATTGTGGTGATGAAAAATGATTATTTCCAAATGGGTAGAGCAAATGACACTTTGAGCCATGAAGAATAGATGCATATTTTAGCTACCAAGGTTACTGTTTCATGGGACAGCTATTCAGGGAGCTTTTAGGAGGAAAAGCTCTTGATCTTCAGGTGTGCTTAGGAGGCCTTCAAGACAGTGCAGTGTGCCAGTTGTTAAAAAAATACATGCTTTGGCTTAATGTCTTTGCAAGAGCAGTGACAAAGTCTGGTAGAGTAGTGCTCTAATCTGAAGGAGAATAGTAACAATATTGAGAAATTCTGTTTAAAAAAATCAAAAAGAGTGGTTGCACAACTTCATGATGGTCAAGGTGGATCTCTTAAGGAAGCTACATGGAAATGCAGAGCGAATGGATAGGAAATGACACCATGAAAGCAGCTGCGAAACAATGGGTCATCTTCAGTGGTGCAGATTTTTATGAGCACAGCATGCAGGCAATGTCCATTGTGACAAAAATGCATAGTTAGTAGTGGTGGCTATGTTGAAAAATAGTGTTTTATAGCTGAAAATTTACTCAAACAGTGTATGATTATGTTCTTTGTATCTGTAGTAGCCTCTGTGGATATAAATAGGAGGCATTAACTTCAAGAGTGACCTACATAAAACCAAAAATCCTGAGATAGCTTTACTTTTTAAAATTAATGTATTGCTGTTGACTGACGGTGTCCGATTTGACTTGGATGGTTTACTGTATCATATCCTGAACTCAAGAAAATGAAGTTACCATGTTATATGAACAAGATTTTTGCCGTTGTGCAAAGGTTACTTAAAGATGTAGGGCAGGGCTCCTGACTGCTTCAGGTGCAGTTTTGGACTAATCAGAGAAATGATTACAATTCATGGTTAGTCCTTAATTTAATCAGATGTTGTAAAGAAATGAAGGCATTCAGATAATGGGATTGTTTTTTTTAGGACTGGTTTTTACAGAAGTCTCATTTCCTTTGTTTTTAAACCGAAGCAAAGTTAGAAACTGTAAAAGTATGAAGATTTTCTGTGCTGCTATTGGGTTTGAAACTGACTGATGAGGGGATCAGTATGTTAGTAATGGATTTTTCCTTTTTGACCGTAGGATTCAAGAGGAAGAATCTGCTGCGTAATGTTACTTAACAGCCTCTGTCCTCTTATAATTGCTATCACCCTGGTTTTATTGCTTGATATTACTTAATCTTATTTCTTGATATTCATATCATAAATCTAGAAATAGGAATGTAGAAGTTAGGATTGTTGGATTACTATGTGATAATTTCACTGGAGTTCTTGATGAAATGTTAGCAGTTGAGAAAAGAGAGGCTGATACACAGCTTTTTACGAACAAATACCCCTCAAGTGACCTTTATTTGCCCCTCACATTTCAGTTCTCATTCTTACTCTGATAAGAAGCTTTTTCTTTACATTCCTCTATTGCAATGTAGTCAAATATTAATTCTAAAGTTCCCACAGGTTATCTGTCTGGTTCATGTGTAACATAGATGGATGATAAAAGAACAAAAAATGGTTTTTCAAGTGAACCTGTTCAATAACCTTAAAGATTTCCCAAATTTATCAACAAAGATGTTTTGCATTTTTGAATGTCAACGTAGATGTTAGCACTCTTCCAAAAATATTTTAATTTACACACTGGGGTTACTTTGTTGTCATTATATTAAAAAAAAAAAAAAAAAAAAAAAAAAGAGGTAAAACAAAGAACTCTGCCAGTTTGACAGCCACAATTAACTTATCCAAAAAATATGTAAGTTCTTTGGTGTACCAGAGGCACCCTGATAGGCTTACATGCTGTCAACTTGCTTTACCAAGGATGCATTAAAATCAGGCACTTACATTCTTCTCCCTTTCCTGTTAGTTATGGCGTGCTGCTTTGGGAGCTGCTAACAGGGGAAGTGCCATTCCGAGGAATTGATGGTCTTGCAGTAGCCTATGGTGTTGCCATGAATAAACTTGCTCTTCCAATCCCTTCCACGTGTCCAGAGCCTTTTGCCAAACTAATGGAAGGTAAGCCAGCTCTAGTGTGAGTATGGTTAGAACATTGTATGCTGTTCCTAGAGTGCTGTTTAGCATTGCCTCCTGGTGTTGGTTTTGATACCTAAGAGCATAAATTACTCAGATGGATTTTTTGATGCTGCAAGTTACTGTGGGGCTTCAGTATAGCTGTTTATGTGCTGTAACAGTTATTCTGTTACAACAGTAATATATGAAATTCCCATCCATTTTTTACTATGTGGGCTATTGTTGTCATCATCTAGCTTGTTTTCTTGTAGCGAAAATGCACTGACACCAAAATTTGACATATATTGATATAATTTAAAACCTTCAACTTGTTTTGGAGGTTGTAGCTTGAACACCTTGTTGGCCACTGTCAGGATAATTTGGAATCGTAGTGTCACAGACATCGAATGCTGAACTTAGGTTCTGTGGCCTTCGGAGGTGTTTTTAGCCCTCAGAAAGGAATTTTTGTGCAAGAAAATGTTTCTGGTGGATTTTTCTGCTCTTGGAATATTTTTTCTGTTATCTTTTCTGTAGATGACAGGCTTCAGTTAAATTAAAGTAGAAAATCTCAGGTATTGTTTTGCAAAAAAAAAAAAAAAAGGTGGTATGCTGGACAGTAAACAGCAACAGAGTTGCAGGTGTAATAAATTGGAAGAAATGTTAAACAGGAAACTGCAACTGAAACCAGTTTATGAAAGATTAGAGCACAGTGTTTTGCCATCGTGGTTTGTTTTGGCGTGGCTCCCTAAAACAAGGGACCCTGAATTTCTTAAATGTAAGTGGGCTATCTGCTGATAGTGTTAAAAATAAAGCCTTCTTCCTGGGAAAGTTGGATAGAGGCGTGTGGCCTGTGCTTGAACCCAGGAGCACAGGGGTAAGGACCCTTGGCTCTGAAATGCTAGGCTTCTTCATGTGCAGGGAGAAGAAGAGAACAAAGGAACAGTTACTTTCTGCCCCTTCACTAGAACTGTTTTTCAGGCTATTTCCCATCTCTGTGAACTCTTGTTTCCTTAATGCTGCTTTTGCTTTTGAATTACTCCTCTGGTGGTCGTCAGTGAGAAAACAAAGCTGAACTTTACCTTTTCACAGAAAAGATTTGTATGTTTCAACTGTCCTCATTAGTGCAAATAATGGCAGATCTAGGACTGGAGGGGAAAAAAAAAAAGCCAGGGGCCACCTGCATAGTTATCCTGCTCATTCATTCATGCATTTGGCTGGCCACAGCATTTTGTTTTACTTTGGGTCATGTTTGCTTTGCCATGCTTAAAACCTGTGCTAGTGGGGCAGAGATTATGCCACTGTCAGTCCAGCTGTATCACCCATTGCTGCTAATTGGTCAGCAGCAGCGGGGGACCTTCAGAGCACTTTTGACATCCTTAATTCTCTGTTTTGGTAAGAGAAACAATTTGAAATCCACAAAGACAAATGTGTTCCAGCTTATGCCTCCCGGAACTTGATCAAATGCTTAAATACCATCTTGGTATCAGCAGTTTCAAAAACAAAGCTCCCAAATGCCAAATGTCAGTAACAGTAAAATCAAAGCAGAGAAAAGATCTGCAAAAAGAAGCCTCAGCAGTTGCACAGATTTTGTGAAATTTTATTTATTTTTTAATCACAGATGCTCCTTGATGTATTTCAATCCTTAAAACAGATTAAGTGAATGCTTTTTAGGACATCATTAGAGATTTTTAAGAACAGTACTGCTCTTCTTCCCCGACAGTAAAGTCTAGGAAACTTTTGAACATTTATATTATTCTTGCTTCTTAATGTGGCAATTTATGTCTCAAACGTAGTGACCATTCTGAGCAATGGTAGTATGAGTGTATTGAGAAAGACCCACATATTAGTGTCTTCCACTTGGACACAAAAGCTGTTGTCCATATCTTTCAGAAATGTTAGAATGTTAAATCTCCTGTTTGGTTCTTGTCAAAGTTTGATGTGCAGGAATCTTGCAGTACTAAAAAGAGTAAGGATACATGTTGAAGAATAACCTGTGTAAGTGCCAGTATTGGAAAATATAGAATGAGCAAAATATGTTTTCTGCAGGAGTTAAAATAATGGTGAGGTCAGAGAGGATGGAATGGGTAATAATTTCACACTCAGAAGCACTGCTAAGCCAAATTCTTTCATTTAGTAACTTTTAGAAACATGATTTTGATTTCGTAGATTGTGGTGTTACTCTGGAGTGTTTTCTTTTTCCATTTGTTTTCAATGTTCAGCTTCCCTCGCTGTAAGAGGAAGAACCTTTTCATACCATCACAAATGGAATTGCCCTTTGTGGTAATAAGGGTACCTAAAATTCTGTATAGCTCTGTGATTGGTTAAGTCAGTGCATTAGACTGTTTAATAAAAAATCTTATCTGTGGTTTCTCATAAAAGCAATTTGGGGGGGGGGGGGGGGAGAAGCTTTATTAAACAAATTTCTCACTGTAACAAACAAAAAAACCCTTTAAAAATAAGAAAACTCTAAATGTACTGTCTGTTTTCATAATCTACTTGAACCCTGTGTTTTCAGTCACAGTGCCCAGTATTTTACCCAAGTATGCCCAGGCTGCTTTGCAGGAGAGTTTTTCTGTTCTGTGGAAGAGATTCATAATGACTCAGCTTAGCTTTGGAAGGGGCTCTGATACATACCTTTTACAGCGACCGGTAGCTCTGCAGTGTAAATGTGTTAAAGGAATTGTGTGTAGGCATCTTACTTGCATGTGCTCACAAAGTACAGATGATAGTTTAAAAATTCCACACTTGATTTATGATAACACAATAGTCAATGAAAGAGAGAAATGGGAGACAGAGTAACACAGTGTACGTGCCATTCTCAGCCACTGGGGATCAGTAAAGTACCTCTCATCATCTCAAGCCTTCTTACTAAGAGATGCTTAATAGTTGCTTGTCTTTGTCCTGTTCTAGATTGTTGGAACCCTGACCCACACTCACGACCTTCCTTTGCCAGTATCCTAGGCCATCTCACCGCTATAGAAGAGTCTGGTTTCTTTGAAATGCCCAAAGATTCCTTCCATTCCCTTCAGGAAGACTGGAAACAAGAGATCCAAGAGATGTTTGATCAGCTCAGAGCCAAAGAAAAGGTAAGTAGAGAAAAACAGTCCTTGCTTGTGTTCTTCTTGTGTTTGATAGAGTACTTCCATTCAGGGATCATATTTTAGGGAATCTCAGAATTAATTTTGCATGTGCTTTGCTTCAGCTTTTGGTAAGTCCCTGAGTAAATGGGAGTTATGATGCGTGCTGGGGTAGATTCATAAGTAAAATAAACATCTGCGTCTTTACCTGCTGCTCTAATGTTGTAGTGAGCATAATGTCCATTATACACTATGCTGAATTATCTTTGTTTAATACATCTGGTAACTATTTCACTGCCATCGTCTTAACTGAGAAGCCCAGCAATAATTGTTAACATTAAAAATAAGAGAGAGAGCTTCCGACTATACACTTTAGCAAAAATCTCTTCTTTATTTCTGCCAGGTTTGTATCTTCAAGGTAGTGTTCAAGGGTGTGGGTGCAGTCAAAGGGGATAAAATAAAATAAACACAAGTACTACCAAGAGAATAATCCAACAACTGTTTAATTAAAATTTGCCTGGTAAACAGCAGGGAATGAAGACCCTAACAGGAATAAAAGGAACAATGACCATCATTTAAGTGACAAGAATCGGAGTCTTATTTTTCAAGCATACTGCCAGAAACAAAGCAGTTTGCTACATCTGTATAAGGTCCTTACAGACATTACAGATGTTGGTATGAAGTACTGCAGTTATTCACTGAGGTGGTAGTTTTTTGAGTTGACTGCCTCTCACACAGAAGTAAATTCATAATAAATAGCCAACTTGATTTTGGCTCAGAAGTTGGGTTTAGAAGACAGAGAAAAAGAGGATATCTTGTGTACAGGGATAAGTCCTACAATGGTTCGTAAAACATTTTCTCTGCATGTACTATAGCAGCTTTTGGAGGAAAAAAGGAAGAGCTGATGGGCATTACCCTGATGCACTGTGTGGTGTGTTGGTATAAGTTTGTTGGAATAGCTCTTGAAAACCAGAAACTTCAACAGAGAACAGTAGTTGCTAGACTGCTGTCATGTTTTGAGCACTGTGTTCCTCCATAGCAACGAGGAAAGAGAGTTTGATATCATGGGAAAGCAAAGATTAATTTTTTTCAATATATGGATGATAAATGTTGCAAAATGAGTTCTCATGTATGTGGTAATCTCCAGTGGCTCTTGAAGATGTGCACGTCAGCATTTTTCTCTCATGACGCTGTATTTAGGATTCAGTGTCTTTTCACAGAATCACGGAGTGGTTGAAGTTGGCAGGGTTTTCAGGAGTCGTTTACTCCAACCCCTGCTTGACCAGGGCCACCCAAAGCAGGTTGCCCAGGCCCATGCCCACGTGGCTTTAGAGATCTCCGAATAAAAAGATTCTACAACTTCTCTGGGCAGCCTGTGCCAGTGCTCCATCACTCACACAGTATGAAAAAGCTTCCTAATATTCAGACAGCCTTCTGTGTTTGTGCCCACTGCTTCTTGTCTTATCTCTGAACACCGCTGAGAACAATCTGGTGCTGTCATCTTTGCATCCTCCCCTTAAATATTTGTATGTATTGATAAGAAACACCGGAGCCTTTTCTTCTCTGGACTGAGCAGTCCCAGCTCTCTCAGCCTTTCCCCGTAGGAGAGATGCCTCAGTTCTTTCACCATTTCAGTAGCCCTTTACTGGCCTTTCTCCAATATGTCTATGTCTCTCTTTTATTAAGGAGACAGAAAGTACACCAGATGTGGTCTTATGAGTGCTGATTAGAAAATTTTTCTTCACTTTTTTTTTTATGTCTGTATGTTAACAGTGATTTGAAGGGCCTCGAATGGCAATCACAGAATTTCTTAAGTATTGTTTTCAGTTTATTGATGTTCAGCTGAGTCTTGAACAGTGGCATTAGCTGTGCTGTGAACAAAAGTCAGTGCTGCTGTACCTTCAGAATAGGTGTTGTTAGCCTTAACCCACAGGTCACGAGATAGCTATTCTTCTTTCTCCTTTCTGATCCCCCTACAGGAGCTTCGCACGTGGGAAGAAGAGCTGACTCGTGCTGCTGTTGAACAGAAGAACCATGAGGAGTTGCTCCGAAGGCGGGAACAGGAGCTGGCAGAACGTGAGATTGACATCCTGGAAAGGGAGCTCAACATCATCATCCACCAGCTGTGTCAGGAGAAGCCTCGTGTGAAGAAACGTATGGGGAAGTTCAAGAAAAGTCGGCTCAAGTTAAAAGATGGCAATAATATCAGCCTGCCTTCAGGTTGGTGAGATGAATAAGGCAAGATGGGAGGAGTATGTGAAAACCCGTAGCTTTGGTGTCTTCTTTGTGCTCATACTTGCACATTTTAAATTATAAAAAACATACCTTTGGCATCTAGGAACTAAACTTCATGCTTTTGTGGCTAGCATTCCTCAAAGAGAACAGGTCAAATTGTAAAGCCAAGAAGTGGGATTGTAATGTTACATGTTTGTTAGTGTATACAATTGATAGTAAAAATGTTGCAATTTAATACATTAGTGCTCAAAATAATAATTTGAATAAAGGATATTGTTTTGTTTGGTTGTTTTAAGCAAATGTTCCTGCTCTGGGAATATTTTACATAATACTGCAGCTGAATCTGTAAGCTATCAGATTTCTTGAGGCAAGAATCAAAAACTTATCAGAAATATTGAAAGCTTTGATACTGTGGCATTACACAACTTCACATGTTAATTCAACACACAAGTGACTTCTAATGTAACCCTTAAAATAAACCTTAAATACTGGCAGTCTGTCTGAGAAGTCACATAGTGTTTTCCTTTGTTAGCATCTCGTTTTCCTGTAGAACATTTTCTATACAGACCCTGAAAATTTCACGTATTATAAGTTAGCATCAACAGTTATTTATTTATTTATTTATTTTCTTGTATTAAAAAAGGATTTTAGCTGTTTTTCTGCTTCTGTGTCGATTTATTTATTTTTTTTTCTTTTGGTAACAGATTTCCAGCATAAATTCACTGTGCAGGCTTCTCCAACAATGGATAAAAGGAAGAGCTTGATCAGTAGCTGCTCCAGCCCTCCTGCAAGTCCTACCATTATTCCCAGACTCAGGGCCATACAGTGTAAGGAGCTCAATGTAGTATTGAATTTGGGAAATGTGCAGTCTGTCAGCGTGGTAAGATGCCAAGATTCCATATCTAGGACAGGACTGTAAAAAGAAATGTTCCTAAAATGTTGGCTTTGTGCCCTTGCATGTATGAATTTAGAGAAAAATGGTGTTTTGACAATTGGCTGGGAGGGTGGTGAGTTTGGTATTGTTTGGAGTCTGAGCCTTACCTATACTCTTGAAAGATTGCTGCTTGATTTTACAGAGAACATATTCTTTGGGTCTGTAGGCTAATGTTTAGAATGTTAGTCTGCAGAGTAGATTTGTGCAACGTTATTGAAGTAGATTAAGTTACTAATGGGGAGAAAGAGAACCAGGGGTGCTTATCATTAAAATAGTGTTCCCCTAATAACCCAGAATTAGGGAGATAAGTGTGTATTAGAAGTATGAAAGGAATGTTAATGTTTAGTGTTTGCATTGGATGTCACAATTCTTGTGTTTCTGACATCAAACTAATTCTTCTGAAGGAGAAAACAATACTAAACTAAAGCCTACCTGTAGTCATTTTAAAGAGATCTATATGCTAGATCAGTGTTGATGCATGATGAGAATTTTGGGAAATAACTCTGAATGAACATTTTCGTTCTAACATTCTTCTGGCTCGTGTTCTTTACATTGCATTGGGACCCATGTGTGTATCTTTTTTTCCCATTTTCCACTCTTTTTCCTACTTATGAAGTGACTCCTGCTGAAAGCAGTAAAACATGGGGACGAAACTCAGTCCTTCCAAAGGAGGAAGGAGAGGAAGAAGAGAAGAGAGGCCAGAAGAAAAAAGGACGCACCTGGGGACCAAGCTCACTTTGTCACAAGGAGCTAGGTGCAGGAGAGGACAGGTAAGAGGAGGGAATTAGATTGATATCCATGTTCTGAAACTGGTTGTTATGATGGTTTCCCAGGAGATTTGCCTGTCCTCTTGCAAGCACTTTTCTGCTTACATATTTGCTGTTGCAAACGCTTTAGAAATTTTAAACAGATGAGAGAACTGTTGTGTTCATTTCCTTGCTAGGGGTCTAACCCTGACCTGATGCTTTCCCCGTCTGCCATTACCTTTTATTTTGAGTGGAATTTCTCCTTAGCTGTTTCTCTGCAGCTATTCTTTTGTCTGTAGCTTTTTTCTTTTCGTCTTTTACATGCTAGTTTTTAATTTTTATTTGATAGTAAAAGGTAAAAATCTTCTCTTCCAGGTTTTGAAAAGTACATATACACCTCGAGTGAATTTTAGCAGATTTTGAGTGATTTTTAGAACAGGTGCAAGTTGTACCTGGCCCTTTTCTATAGATTCTTGTTTTGTGACTTCATTTTTTTACTTTCACTTAAAGTATAGGAATATTTTAATAAGACTTTGAGAGGTTTGAGTACCTGTTGTCTTTTAGTAGAATCTGAAGCAACTTCCACTGCTAAATTGGTAGTTTGACTTCAGCTATATTTTTTAGCAGGGAAAATAAGGTCAATGATTATAATTTAATATTAGGTGTTTGAGCATGGAACTCTTGGCAAATAGATGTTTATGTACTGTGTCATCACTACAATACTGTACAGGAACACCTAGACTGAAGTATTCAGTGGCACTAAGCTGCATTCTCCATCCAAGGTACTCTTAGCATGTGTTTTAACAGGGCAATATGGGGGAAGCTACTTCAGCTTGCTGTTCTATAGATGGAATATTGTATTTTTCAGAATTAAAACTGATGTCCTTTTTTACAGTCATTGATTATTTTTTCTTAAAAAAAGGAGATGAGTGAAGCTGGTAGAACAACGCTTCTACCTTGAAATAATGCTCTGAATTTTGGAAATAAGCCCCTTTTTCTGATGACTTTTTTTTTTTTCCTGTTCCTTCTTGTATGATCTGAAGAACTGAGTTGTTTTTGAGCATGGACTCCTGAAAAAGGGTTACTTCCTAACTGTGATTGCTCTTAGTAAGATGACAGCATTTTGCAGAGTACTTGAAATGTGATAGTATTGCTGAGAGGACAGTGTGGTTAACATTAATGAACTGTTTTTCACTGAGATCATAGAGTCACAGAAACATTTGAGTTGGAAGGGACCCTTAGAAGCCATCTAGCCCAACTCCCCTTCAATGAACATGAGCACCTACAGTGAGATCAGGGTACTTGGAGCTCTGTCAAGCCTGACCTTGAATGTCTCCAAGGATGGGGCATCCACCACCTCTCTGGGCAATCTGTGCCAGTGCTTCACAACCTGTATTTTTAAAGATCTTCTTCCTTATATCTAATCTAAAATTCTCCTCTTTTACTTTGAAACCGTTTTCCCTTGTCTTATCCCAACAGACCCTGCTAAAGAGTCTGTTGCCTTCTTTCTTACGGCCTGTTAGATACCAAAAAAGATCATGTCACACTGCAGATTATTTAAATAGAATAGGACTGCATTAAAAATTAGTGCTTCAGATGATAGAGTACTTGCTTTTTTTAGTTCTTTTTTTTTTTAATCTATTTCTAATTTGGTAGGATAGGATATTAGATTTAAGTGAAGAGCTGGACTTAGCACTGAAGAGTCCAGTTTAAGCTTTCCCCATGACACTGCTTGGGTAGCAGCGGTGCTACTATTCCACATGCTTATGTAGCTCTTTGGCCAAGCCAACATGAATATTCATCTTCATCACTTTCCATGTATTTTTCCTTAAGATTATTATCAGATTTTTATGCAAGAATTGCATTATAGGAATTGCTATGAAAATGTCTAATGTGAGTAAACCTACCTGTAATTAACTTTAAGAAAAGTTAATCTTCAGGAGATGACTTGTTATTCATCCTTCTGCATTTATGTTTGAGCCTAAGAAATACACATAGCAGCAGAATTCAGCAGTTGCTATGCTGAATTACTGAGACTGGATAAAGCTTTATGCTGGAATAGCATTGTGAAAATTCAGTTGTGATCTTACAGTGTCTTCTCAGGAATATCCTCTGCACAGATCTTCAGAGTCTCCTTGTAGCGTTGCTTATAATTTCGGGTAGAGGAGGAGCGAAAATATGGACTTTGTAACTTAAAAAGAAATCTAGCAAGTCACAAAATTATTCTGGTAGCCATTTGTATTTCTATTCAGGTTAAACTATGCTATGTGAGTAGAAGCAAATCTGTCTGGTTTTGCCAAGGGAAGATTTTTCTGAGAAGTCAAGAAGTTTGTGTGCCCTCCTGTATAACAAAAGGCACTTTCCAAGGCTGTATGTACTTGACTATGAAGTAAAGCCTAAACTGAAGATCACTGCTACCTGTTACACATGACTGTAGTCATTGCTCTCTTTGCACAGAGAGTGTTTTCACTGCCCCACTGAAGACTCCCTCAGTAGTTGTCTGCCTGTGTTCTGTGTTGACACACTCTCTTAGACATGATCATGCTGCTAATATCATTCATTCTCACTCACCAGCTTTCTCTTAATGTGAGTCTGCTTTACGATGTTTATCCTAACTGTATATGTTGTACACACAGACAATATGGATACAGTAAGCATTCTCTGCTGCATTTCGTTTCACAGCTGAATGTAGTGTGGAGGGAATAAATTGGACTTATGTTGTAAAATCACGTGGTTTCTTTCTTGACAAAGAGGATTCAGCCAGAACGATTAAGGATGGGAGAATGATGAGCTCTGAAGATAGATGGGAGCTGTATGAGATGCTTTTAGTGTGATCTGAAACTATTCCTGAATGTTGGGAATAGAAAGAACATTTGGAAAGTCATGTCTGTAGGTTGATCTTCAACCAACTGAACAAGTACTAAATCAAGCTAAGACCTTATGACTTTGCCAATAAAAATATAGCTAGTCTGGTTGAGCTAGTCAGTTAGGTTGAGAATAGAGGAAAAATACAAACCAAGAAAAAAAAAAAATCCTTACCACCTTGATATAATACGACCTTGAAATCCTGCCATGGAAGTAATCTTACAAATGCAGAGTGATTCTAGTGAAAAATGAGAATAAGGAGAGGGTCTTCATCACAATCCTTCCCTTGGAAAGAAGGGAGAATATGAGCATATGTAAGCTGTCTTCTCAAAGAACAGCACAAGCTGGTCATGTTGCTGAAAGAGGTCTCGTCTCTTCAGTTCTTCCAGTAACAGACATGCTATTTTATGTCCATCTGAGATCATTCAGACAATCCATAGATGTTGTCTTCTTTCATTCAATTTTCTGAGTAAGTGCTTTTAAGCTTTTCACCAGCATTGATGGGTTTAATGTTGGAGTTCATAGAAGGACGCCACAAAACTATCAGCTTGGAGACTACTGTTGACTGAAAAATAAATCTGCTTGGCTTGTGAGGTGTCAAAATTGTGCAGTTTACTGTTGTTGTTTCTGATATTGTGAAAGTGGTGCAAAATACGTATAGGATGATGACAGTGAATATCTGTTAACAGGACTACTAATAAGCTTAGGGGCAAAGCAAGATGCCTTTAAACTCAGATGACTTTGATGTAGGGATTTACTTTGGTGGGTTTTTTTTGCTTGTTTTTGGTTTTTTTTGTTTTTTTTTTTTTTTGTATTTTTGGTCTGTAACTAAGAGAATAACATGAACCATGGTGTGTAATTACTCATTTTTCCATAGTCTGTAGCTTATGCTTTTAACCTTTTGTACTTCAAAACAATATTTTCTCTAGAGGAATGTAATATATTCTTATGATATAGAAGCACGACTCTTGTTATGACTTCAACAAACTATATTCCCACTGAGTGATTTTTGATTTTCACTTTTCACTTGTATTTCATGTGGAAATGTTTTTAGAGCTGTTTTTCCCCTCTTCCTACTGAGCACTTTATTTTGTACTTGCCATGGCATGTTTGCCTTAGAAGAAACTCTCTCATCTAATTTCTGTCATAGTACTTAGTATTACCATGCATTCATAGCTATTGTTTATCATCGGAGATCTTTTGACTGTTACATTGTCACAAATGAGGGAAGTGTTGTAAAATATCTTGCTAGCACAGTATTGTAAATCTATGTAATTAAGATGGATTAATGCATACCCTAAATAGAGCGATGGAGAATATAGAAGGGAGGAGGTAGTTTCTTGTCAGCACTCTACATCTTATTCTTTCTATTATTTCAGTCTGAAAGCTCTGGTAGAAGGATACAAACAGTGGTCATCCAGTGCACCAAACCTAGGGAAGATTCAGAGAACTGCACCTGCTTTTCCAGGATTCACCAGCTTAGCAGAGATGGGTAAAGTATTTACCTGCACTTGATATTCTCTTGTTTGATATTCCGCTTTGCTATTCTGCTTCCATTCACTTGAACTTTTGAATGTCCATTCAATGAACTTTTCCTTGTCTTCACCTTAAGCAATGTTTTCATTTTGATGCTGTCTGCTTTTACTGTATTCTTAGTGAAATAAGTACCTTCACTTTGGATTTTAATTTTTTGTTTATTCTTATAAGCTAGCAAGCTTCTCCTAATTCCCCTCTTCTTTCCATGCTTTCAACTCCTTTCAACTCCTTTCCTGTTGATATTTAGATGAGCAGTATGGTTACACCCTTACTTGCCAAGGAGAGATTCTTACCATTTTCCTACCTTTTCACTCATCACCCCCATACGTACAGACTTTGGAAGTAACTGGAGCATATATCGCTTCTGGTACGCTGTTTCCTTAATGGCTCATGAAAAAATCAACGTGTCAGTAACTTCTTTGGAGTTTTTGGGTACTTGTCTCAACCTGTCTGTTTTGGGATCAGTACCTTGTGGGCATTTGGCAGTTGGTAAACAGTGCTTTTAGTGAGAAGGATAGTTGCGTCTTCTGAGAAGAAGCTTAACTCTCATGTGTATTTGTAAAACTTGGTGAAATTAGCTAAAGTCTTGCATCCATGCAAAGTACTTTTTTTCATTTGCTTTCCAGATGATGAAGACAGTGAATGTCTTAATGGGGAAGGCAAAGTGCACCCTTCACCTGGGCACAACCAGTCATACCTCTGCATCCCGTTTCAGAAGAATGATGACTGGGATGGGCCTTCTAGTGATGCCAATGATGAGTCCACTCCTGTGAACTCTGCTACAAGCACCCCACAGCTTACACCCACCAACAGCCTCAAACGTAGTGGCTCCCACCACAAACGGTGCGAGGTTGCCTTGCTTGGCTGTGGAGCGGTTCTGGCTGCTGCAGGCCTGGGGTTCGATCTGCTAGAAGCGGGGAAGTGTCAGCTGCTGATTGAAGAGGAGCCAGAGCCACCCAAGGAAGAGAAGAAGAAACGTGACAGCATTTTCCAGCGAGCTGGACGCCCGCGCAGGAGCACTAGCCCTCCTTCTCGAAAAATCTTCAAGAAAGATGAGCCCATGTTGTTGCTTGGCGAGCCATCCACATCCCTCACCCTTCTTTCCCTGTCTTCCATTTCCGAATGTAATTCCACCCGATCCCTGCTGCGCTCAGACAGTGATGAGATTGTGGTATACGAAATGCCTGTCAGCCCCGTGACAGTCAAGGCTCCCTTGCCAGCCATTAATAACCCACTAGTTAATGTCCAGATTGAGAGATTCAAACAAGACCCCAACCAGTCCCTCACTCCCACACATGTGACGGTCTCTTCCCACACCCAGCAAGGCGGGCACAGGCGCACACCTTCTGATGGGGCCATCAAAGGGACTGGACTAGTTGTCAATGGGTGCCCAACCAGTGGATGCCCTTCCAGTAGCTGTTTAACTGGAGCACTGGGAGCAGGTAGGTTTTCAGCCATCTTCCTTTTCTTCTTCAGAAGAAGGGCCCAAACACTATAGATACTTGTTAGGAAGTGAGCATATTGCATATACAGCATCTGTTGCCAGCTCACAGGCAAGGCTTGTGGATATTGTCTTTACAAAAATAATGACTGGAACAATACAGTAACAGTCTCTATTCCATCACCTATACACCAAGGAATTCTCTGCATCATGTTGTGAGGCAGAGCCATGTTATTGTATCAAGGTACAAATACTGTTCATTTTTAATAGTTTCGCAGAATTCCATCTCTGTTGCCTTTATGCACTTGTTTGTTTTGCTGTTACAACTTTAAAGCAAATTATAATCTTTAAGGCAGTGAAGACTGAATCTCTAAAGCAGTGTGGGGCCTCTGCTGCTCTTGCTCTTATTCCTTCACAAGCCAGAGGGATTTTCTTGGGTAGGTAATGTTCTCATTGTTACAGTCTTTAGGAGTGGCTGTGACTAGATAACTTAATGCTTTCCCTATTTTTTTTTCCCCTAGTAATTCACAAGAAAAGAAAAAACTAGAATGTGAAAATTAAGTCTGATTTAGCTAGACTAAATGAAGTGTGGCATTGTCTGTTGAATGGAAGTCTGCAGTAAGGTGTGGGTTAATACTCATTAAAATATTCACGAAAAATTTTGTTCTATTTTAAAAACAACCAAACAAGAAAAACAAAGTGTCTACATTAGATTTTGTTAAGTGACTCTTCTAGGGAGTTGGTCTAACTCACTGCAAACAGGTGTCACACATCCTGCTGTGCAAGTGTCTCCCCCATCCATTCAAGCTTTTAATGGATAATGTGCCTTCCAAAGGATTTGGAGAGTTCTTACCTCTGATAGGAAGTCAAATCCATGCTGTGCAGTCTGAGAATGAAGAAAACAAATCAGAGAATGAACAAAATACTCTGCCTATGCAAGGCAAGTGAATCAGGTGTTTCACAATGTGTTGAGAACGATATAGGAATAAAGAAACCAGTTATTCTCTTCAGTCTTGAAGATATGGAGATTGTAGGTTCTGAATGGAGGCTTTCTGCTTTGAAAGTGTTTTCGCAGTGTACGTACGATAAGATTTGTCGGAACCTTTTAGAAGTGACATCTAACATGTTTCCCTCTTCTTTCACATTCTCTGTTTTGGATAGGTGTATTAAAAACACCTAGTCCAAGTAGAGATCCAAATGAGGTCCCTCGCCTGCCAGATCCCAACCTTGTTTTTCCTCCAACCCCGAGACGATGGAATGCACAGCAGGACCCCACGCTGGAAAGACCCAAGACGCTGGAGTTCCTGCCTCGGCCTCGGCCCGCAGCCAGCCGGCAGCGGCTTGATCCCTGGTGGTTTGTGTCACCCAGCAATGCCAAGGGTGAATCTTCTGCCAACAGTTCAAGTACTGACACTCCAAGCAATCTGGACTCTTGTTTTGCTAGTAGCAGCAGCACTGTAGAAGAGAGACCTGGACTTCCTGCACTGCTTCCTTTCCAGGGGAGTCATCCTGTAGAGGAGCGGACACTGTTGGACATAGATGCTGAGGGACAGAGCCAAGACAGCACCATTCCGCTATGCAGAAGTGAACTTAACACACACAAAGCTACAGCATATGAACTCAAGCAAGAATTCTGGTCTTAGTATGAAATTCACTCGGGACAGTAAGCCCCTCTAAATTCAATTCTACTTTTTGCACTGAGAATGCACTTTGAAGACAGATGAGTTAGATGCTACGGAGATCGTATGGTGCTGCCTCTGCTGAAGGTGTTGTTTAACTGCCTGATTGTTGTCTGCAGTTGGGTGTAATTTGGCGACTCAGAGCTGCTGACTTTGCTGTGGGGTTTTTCTGTAGTCTTCCCTGTCACCTTATTGCAGTTTGTATCTGCAGTAAGCTAAAATTATCATATCGAAGTCTTTGTTACTGACCTTGTAGGATTTGGCACTTGCAGTAAGTATCTATCCTGGTATTCATCAGTATTTTCAAAACTCAAATGCTGTAATACAGCAGCTGCCAGTATTTATTTTTCCCAAAAATTCCAGGAAAGAAACAAGTAAATATTTGGAGACTACCTTCTCTGAAATGTGTCATTAGATAGGCCTGGGAATCATGGTGCCCCCACTGAAGGAGCAGAAGTAGCAGTCTTACTCTTTCTTGCCCTCTTTTGTTCATGTCCTAGTGTAAGGTGGATTGCTGAGGAAGGCTGTGGCGTCTCTATTGGTGGAGGTCTTGGAGAAGAGACTGGATGGTTGGGAATGAGTAGGTGTAGTTGGTCCTGGCTTCAAGGCAGGGTGAGTGGACTTCAATGATCTTTTGAGGACCCTCTCATCCCTATTTTTTCATGGCCCTTTGCTTTTAAAATAGTGACTGGGGGTGTTATGACTACTTACTTCAGCCTGTTATTTTGTTTCTAGCTGTGGTTCCATTAGCCTCTTTTTTTTGTCCCCCTGTATCACAGACTCACAGTTGAGTGGCCTCAGCTTTGGGAGGGAAATGGACGGGAACTCTAACTTCTGCAAGCAACACGCAGCTTTAAAGAAAATTATGCCCCTCATTGTTTTTCTTCCTGTTTCTCATGTTTTTTAGGAGTGGCCCTGTAAACCCGAGGTGGTTCCTGTGCATGCTGCTACTTGTTCAAGGCTTTTTTGAAATTGAGACTTGCGTGTTAGTAGTTGGATTGTGCAAATAGGAATCAGAACATCTGGATTCTGTCTTCTTTAGTCACTGACTCACTGTGTGACCTTGGGCGAATAATGTAACCTCTCCGTGCCTGAATTTTCCCATCTGTAAATAACAGGGATAATACCTACCTCACAAGGGGGGTGGGACCTATGTAGTATGTTCTTTGAGATCTTTGTGTGGAAGGCAGTATAGGCAAGTAAAACATTTGTTCAGATTTGTAAAAGCTCTTACCTGGTCAAGGAAAACCGGGTAAGAAGACCTCCTGCCTTGAAGGAGGAAGTCACACAACTAATGTGTGCATACACTCAGTTTTCTTCAGAGGCTGCAAGTGTGTCTGCGCTCCCAGCAAGTCTGTGTCATTGGGTTTAATGAGAGCTTCATTTGTTCCCAGTTTTGGCATTATAAATAAGGGATGTGGCCTTTTTACATGAGTGTGTTAGGGTAGTCTGCTTTATTGAGGGTACAGCTTATCTGTTAGCTCTTCCTATACAAATCTTTGCTCATTTTGCTAATCTACTTACCATTTGGGTGCAAATAACTGATTTGGCAGTGCTGCCAATGCTGCCTTCCTGTCAGGGAAGTCCAGTCCTGTTGCGAAGGCACTGTGGATGAGTACTTTCTTGCAGCAGCACAGAGAACATGAGCGTTTAGATGTTTATCACCTTAATATTAAAAACCAGCATGTGTGGGGAAATATTCTCCTTAGTATTTTTAATTCAGTTTGAGGGCTAAAAGCATCATGTTGCTGTGGGTCAAGTGTATCTTCTTAGCAAGCAAGCACAGTATGTTACCATCAAGGAAAGTCATGGACTTCTTGTTCCTCACATTCCACAAAATTTGTTTAATGTCTGAATTTCTTTTTGCTGCCTACTCCACTGAACTCTCCAGAGCTAGCCTTAATGATGCTACACTAGCTGCTAATGCTGGATAGACTGTTGACTGTGTAGACAAGGTGCTCTGGTGTGTTGCAAAGAAGAAAATTGATGTTTCTGGCACTTTCGTTAAGTGTAAACCTTTAGGTTTTTTTTTTTTTTTAATTTCTTGTGCATTCGTCCTTTTGTTTTTCATTTCTGAAACCTCAACATGTGTGTGATCCAGGAACTTCAAAAACAAACAAACGCCAGCAAAAAACACCTCAAGGGAAGCCTGATCAGAATTTGTGTCAGAAGAACATAAAGCAAGACATTAAAACTATCTAGTTTTCAGTCTCCCTTACCCTTTTTGAAAGTCTGAGACAAAACTGGATCAGCTGTTCTTTCTATGCAAAAAGCATTATTCCAAAGTGATGGGAAGAAGCATCTGCTCTGCAAAGACGTGATGTAGAATTGCTCTTTTGCATAGGAAAGTTAATGAAGTGTCAGAAGCCCTTCTCTCTCACTTTTAGATAACCACTTGGTGAAGGCTATGGATAGCTAACCATAGGAGGATTTTGTGCCAAAGGGCAGCTGCCCTAACACCAAATGGACAGTAAAGGAACTGGTTGACACCGCTGGCAAAGAGTCATGGATCCAGATGAGGGTTTCTGGCTTAGATGTTCTCTATTACGAAGCTGCTAGAAAGACAGGGTAGGAACAGTGTTTTCTAAATGCTCCTCAGATGCAATTATCTTAATCGAATCCAGCATGTGAGATAAAAACAAGATTGACTCTGGGCATCAACCCCTAAATAAGCTTTCCAGTTTGGAGTCCTGTAACTTACCTGAGGATACCAAGGAAGAGGAATCTGTTGTAAAACAAAGCTGTTTACTTCAGCAGGTGGTAGGATACTTTCTGACAGGCAGAGGGCTCTCAAGGCAAAGTCATGTGTTTTACTGTATGCATCCTGAAAGCTGTTGCCACTGGTGCCTTGAGGCCCAGAGGCCATCTGAATGTTAAAGCTAGTTTGTAACCTTTTCGGTTATCCATCTATCGTGTACTGGTTTGATTACTCTCCTGTCTTATTCTGTTTGTTTCCTTTTCCTTCCCGGCTCTAGGCAGTGAGGTGCCCCAAGTCCCAGAGTTCACTCTAGTCCACTATATACCAAGAAAATCTGAGCCAGTCAGAAAGCTCACATACCTTTTTTTGTCTACTGACTTTCATTTATTTGTCAGTGAGACAAAAATTTCATTATTATATTGATATACCTGCTAGTACATCAAGAACCTGGAGTTCTTGAGGAAAATGGTGAAAATCTTGCTGTAAAATACCCTTAAATACGTGAATAGGTTGCACTTTCTGCTGAGAAAAAGAGAACACGAGCACAAATTTACTGAGCAGCCTAAAACAATGATAAAAGAGAGGAGTAAAACATATTAAAGTTTTTAGAGCTCACAAAGAAGAAATAACCTCATTAGTCTTAGTATCAATTACAAAATGTTATTGCTGTGAAATTTTTCAGATTTGGAAATACATGTTTTATTTTAAATAGTTGACTGGTAATATATATATCACTAATTTATGTAATTGACTTATTTAGAATATGTTTGCCAGCTCTATGCTGTCTAGCAGTCTGCCTGTTTTCCCTGTAAAATTGAGAGGAAAGCACAGACCTAGCAACACTGCAAAAAAATTACTTGAAAAAAAAAAAATTTCTACTGGTTTCACAGAAATTGAATGTGGGACAGATAGAGAGAAGAAAGCTTTTGTGTCAAAGCTAAAAAATTATGGATGGTTATGGATTCTTTGTAATATTGTTGCTTCCTATGGACTGCACAGTGCTCTGTTTCACCATCAAGTAGATCTTATCTCCTATGAGCCTTCTCTGAGGTGCAAATGTAACTTTTTGTAGGTACCCTTTTTCCTTCAGATTATTGCTGCAGCAGATTCATATTCAGTGCGGGCCAGGGAACCTCAATGAAAATATTCTTTTTGTATTGGTTTTTCTTAACAGAATGAGTATTTTCAAAGTAAAATTTTCATTAGTGATGTAGAAAGACCTTTGGGTTTGGTATGCTTTTATGATGTATTTTTCTGTACCTCTAGGAATGGGAGTAGTTGCCTTCCTCTTCATAGCATGCTGTTATCTTAAGACTTGTGGACAGTGCTGCGTAGAGATGTTACTGGATGAAACTGGATACCTCTCATTCAGCTGAAGGTGAGGCAGTAATTAATGGTCAAGTAAAGAGAGGTCTTTGCCATTTGGAGTGCTTTATTAAATAGTAAATCACAGGAAACCTCCTAACGTGAACCACCACCTTTCTATCTTTTATTTAACTTTTATTTGAACTTAATTCACTTCTATGGAATGAATATGGGATCTGAAGACCGATTAGATGTGCGGAACCAAACCTAATTACTATATCCCAGAATTCAGTGTTGGCTTGTTGCCTTTATAAGTATCTCTAAGCTAATATTAATGTTTATTTCTTTGGGTTTTTTTTGAAAATTTTCTTCTTGGAAAAAAGATGGTTATTAGTTTCTAATATTTTCTGTGTGTTTTGGAAATATTCTTAAAAACTCAATCAGCTCTATGGAAAATAGGAAGTCTTATCTTGCATAGTGATATAGATCTTTCTTCTGACATAAAACAAGGGGACCGTTAGAAATGAAAATTTCTGATCCCTTTTACTATAGGGTAGTTGCCTTCCTTTGCTTCTATACTTATAACTTGTTTAAGGTTGTAATTTGGGTAAAACTGGATGCTAACAGTGACAGGAGAGGCATATGTTAAAAGATTATTTACAAACAAGCAATGAATACAGCCTGTGCACAAACAAAACTGAAATATGCTGTCATGAAGGATAACTTTATGACTTCATAAACACTTTGGTTCATTATATTATTAAGGTATCTTTAAGAAAGAATGCCTTCCTATGTTTTTCTTCATAGTTTACTTTGGAAGATTAGAATAAGGTGCTTGGCACAGACTCTCTTCTTGCATCTGGCTGGACAGAATGGGATTTTAACCAAATGCTTGTTTTTTGTATTTCCATATCTAATCTGTGGTTTAGATTTTCCTATTTCTTTTGCTTAGCAAACAAGTCTTAAGAAGAACTTGTGTCTTCAGCTCTGCTGTCACAGTTTCACAAAGCAGTACCAAAATGCATTTATGGCTTACTTTGCTACTCCCATCTTACTAAATACACTGGTAGAATGTTACCTGCTTTAGTTTTAATGTTCATTTGCTTTTGTTTTTTCTCATGCTCAGCTTTTTTAAGCAGCATTACCACTGATCAGAGACATACAGCTTCTGAAATCACCTTCATCAGCTTTATTTTTATGTGTTAAAAACTGTCATTCCAACCTTAGAAGTGTGTGCCTGATTGTAAGGTAATTTTCCACTGGTGACTGGGTTGGGGGTCTCACATAGCTACCAGAATTCTTATTGTCCCTCTGTAATAAGAATCTCTTTTTTTTTTTCCCAGTAGAAAACACTTCATCAGTGTTGTGTACAAGAGCCACATTTCACCTCTTTCTGTACATGAGTAATAGAATCTTTTTTTTCTTTGTTTCCAAATGACAAGGAGCATCATTTTGCCTACTGAGTGTGGCTACTTGTGCTGGTCTTTCTAAGCCTCTGAATTACATCTGTGTGTTTTAGGTGCATCTTGTATTGCTAGGTGCCTTCTATTTCATGTGCATCTTTGCTAGGGCCTTAGGTTGTTTTCTGGAAGGAACTCATGGTTGTAGCTTTCAGTACTGCAGTTTTCTTCATCGTACATTCAGCCAAACACCAGTGATACCAACATTCCATGTCCTTCAGTTTGCTGACTTGTGGAAACAAGTATGCTATTGCTAACTCTCCATCTCTCAATTAGAATTCTAAATATGTGATTCCGTGGCTGTCTCTTGTCAGTTATTTGTTCTTGTTGCCATAGTATTTTGGCAGAAGGCAGAAACCAACATTATCTTATCTGTGCTTTGACCTAAAACATTTTCAAGGTAGAAGCATAAAACACAAGTGGGGGAAGTACAAGTGTGGAGGTTAGCAGAAATTAACCAGTACAAGGGGTGAAATTTTCTATCTTACTGTACTAAACAGTGGTCAGAGGACACTGACCAAGAGCTGCTTGGTAACCTATTGGCATCATAGTTAAATTGAGTCCTAAAGAAGAATTTGAGGATTGTGTGGTGACTTTGTTTCTGGTTGATTTGTTTTCTTTTACCCTGAGCTACCTCATTTGTACAGATGGAGTGGAAATAAAGGATAAGTTGTAAGAATTGCTCTAGATAAACAATTGAGACTAGAATGGTGAGAGCACCAAGGAAAACACTTGTGTTTGGCTCTTTGACATTCAAATTCCTTATGGAAAAATAAAACCAGCTGTTCATTTCCAAAAATTAAGATTATTCTTTTATTATGTAACTCTCCAAAATAAACAATAACAAGGCACAAAGTATATTTCCTGATGGTTTTTGACCTGTGGAAGAGCTAAATTTCCAATCTAAAAGGTGATTGTTTCATACTGGTCACTGCTGCTTTTAAAGGTAAAAGTATGTTTTTTGAGAACATATTTTTTTTTCTAAATAATCTCATGTACTCTTTAAGTGAGCCTATATGCAGTCTTGTTTCCCTTGTATTTACTGTAGTTTTCCTAGTATTGTAGAATCCTTAGGTGTTGCAAGGGACTCTGAAGGCCATCTAGTCCAAATCTCCTGCAGTGAACAGGGACATCCACAGCTAGATCAGGTTGCCTGTGGAATATATTTGATTCTAATGCAGCTCTTGTATCTGAGTGCTAATGGTGTGTGTATAGTCAACTATAGCTCATTTTAAGAAACAATGACACGTTTTTACTGTGTAACATAGTGGATTTTTCTGCTCAACTTGAAGTGGGCTACTGTTAGGTCTGTAGCTGATGGGGTCAGATAGATGTGTATCTAGCAAATGTGGACCTAGAACAGATCTGCAGGAGGAATGCCAAAGTTGCATTTGCTTAGAGAAGGATATTTGAAAGATAATAATGGTGGGGGAAAATGTCCCTCCACTATTCAGAAGTAATTCTCTAGGATCTTGACCGTGCTTGAATTTTAGCTTCCATACAGTGAGAGCTCATGGATTTTCATAAAAAATTTTTTTGACTGAAGCCCTGGCATAAGACCAAGACAAAGTATTTACGTTATTTAGGAGTGATTGACACTGTCTCCTTGTCCTACCTTGATTGTTCCAGTTTAGCATTTTCTCAAGAACAGATGCTGAGTAAAATTATCTTTGCCTTGTAGCAGGAGGAGAGAGGTGTGAGTCCAAGAAAGAAGAATCATTGCTATAGCCGTGTCCTAATGTATTTCCTTATCACTCAGCCAGCAGCAGAGGTTATAGTGGAGCAGGAAGACATACCGGTGTTTTTCCAAGCTTTATTGGTGAGAATGCTGCTAAAATAAGATTTTAGTATATAAACAAGCAAGTTTGGGAAGCCTTATATTTAACTACTTGTTATTAAGTTTCAAAACAAACGTGTCCTCTGATTATTATCTGGCATTGCTCAATTGCACACTTATCTTATTGAGTTTAACTACAGCTGGAGAAGAGCTGAACGCTTTCCTTGAGTTCTTGGGGATGCGGCTACTTTTGATTATTTTGGGGGGTAAAGTAATGTTTTCTCCTAGTCCCACTTTGCGTTGCAAAACGAGTTGTCTCTCCTGACTAATTGTCCAGATATTCACAGTAAGCTTCTATTTCTGCCTTGCATGCTTTGGTGAGTGGCTCTTAAAATGTCATCATAGTTAGCGTTTGTGTCTGAATAGGGCAGCTAGTACCTCTGAGCTGATTTTTCACGCTGCATCTCAAACAGATGTTATTACATTAGTTCTGCCATTGCTCTGTTTTCAAGGTTATCTTGGCAACCATAACATCCAGAAATCCTAGACTATATAAAAAGTAAAGCAGCAGAAAAAAAAAAGAAAACATACCAATGCTTACCGATTGAACAGCTGAGTTGTGCCAGTGGTCTTTGCAGAGAGTAAAAAACATTCTTCTGCAGCGTAGGTCTCTGCGAGACAGCTGAAAAAGTGGAGAATGTACCTGTATCTGCTTAATGTCAACAGGCACCAGTGCCTCTCCTATTTGGCAGTTTTTATATTAAATCGTGTAAAGCCAAAAACATATAGTAGTAAAAGTTTATATGTAGGGTACTGTCTTGTAACTAGGAGGGGAAGAGGTCTCAATTCAAGAAAGCATACTTAAACATCACCGAAATCAATGGAATGTATCTATGGGGCTAAATGCACAAAACCTCAAGTCAGCAAAGCTGTTATGATCTGATCTGGGGGGTTGTCTTGTAGAGATTAATGGTGAAGGACCAGTCTCCATATTTTGTCAGAGGGAGTTCCTTCACAAGCCTTTGGGTAAATGCAGGCTCGATTTGCTCTGACTTACGTGGCCTTTCCATGCCTGCATTTTCCATCCTATTTGATCGCTAGTTCTTACCATAAACAGGGAAAGCTTTGAGAATATTTTCTGACACAGGAGAGATCGATAACTTCTGCACTAGCAGACTGCTGGCTTCAGAGGGGGCAGTAAATGGTGTGTGGAGGCTGCGTGTACAGATTTTGATTTAACCTGAAGTATTTTCTCAGGCTTTTTCATTTCAGAAATGCAGCCTTCCAGGTTAGTGTACAGATTTGACAAATGTGGAAGTGATCAGTGTCTACTGTTATTGTTAGGGTTCTTGGACTCTTGCTTGCCAGCTGTTGGCCCAGCACTTCATGCTGATATATATGACTTCTTTGTCATAAATTCAGAACAAACTGGGAATATTGGAGATATTTTGCCTGACTTCAGTTGAGAGGCTTATATGGAGTGGGGAGGGGCAGTAGTGGTGGAAAAATCAGGGAAACTACCTGTGATTTTAACAGTATCTCTTCTGTGGCTTTGAAAGTCTGAATTTCACAGCCAGAGAATGTATTTCCTCCCTCTTTTTATAAGCTACATCTTTCTTTTGCCTTATTAATTGTGGATCTGTTCCTGCTTCTGTTTAAAGCCAGTTGCAAAAAACAGTGACCTGAATTTCCTAGGTACAGTGTTGTCAAATCTGAAGAACCAGGTGAGTAGTTGACTCCAGTGTAAGATCGTACGCCCATGTCCATTTTTTTTTGAGGTATGGGATAGTTCCTGCTTGTGTTGAAATCCCTGTGTGAAAAGTGTTAGGTACTTTGTAAGGAGCTCCAATCTCTGCAGGACTGGGATTCATCTGATGGCTGAAGTATTTCCAGTCCATTTTTGGAGACCTCTGTATGTCTTCTGTTCATGATGTTCAAAAGTCTTTTACTATGGAAGTAGCACCTGAAGGTGTGTTTTTGCCCAAATAACCTGCAATGAAGCAGTTGCATTAGCAAATGGTAATGTACCCCAGAGTTGAGTAAGATAACAGAGGCCACCAAGGTTATTCTTGTTTGTGTGATGAAATGTTGTCAAATGAAGTGATTTGTTGGAGCCTTCCTGTAGCCTCTGTACAGCAGTAAGCTTAGGGGAAAATAAGATTGCATTATTTTTTGAAAAGCTTTATTTGTGACCTGGCTTTGTTGCCTCTGACCCTAACTTAAATAGTTAAATTATATTAATGTCCAGTTTGTTTCACTGTAGGTAACACATCAACTGAATACTCTTGTGCATAATCTACTGTATCTTTCCTCTGTTCTGTGTCAATGTATTATGTGTAATTGGATTACGGTTCTTTTTTATTGTATTAAATTATTTTATGTTATAGAACAATATTTAAGCAAAGCAAAGAGCTGATGAAAGTTGTTGGCGTTCTGGGATTTTTTTTTTCTCTTTGCTTTTTTTTGGATGTACTGTAAATTGTAAACCAAGGATGCCAAGCAGGCTTGGTTCAATGGCTAAAATTATTGTATTACAGTGTAATGCTGATCTAGGCCTTGTCTCAACACTAGAGCACACAGACTTGAATAAAACTGTTATAAAAGTGATTGTCTTTAGGTCCTGAGTTCTTAGCTTTGTGCTTTAGATAATTTGAACAGATGTTTAGAACAGCAGTATCATTGCCTTGCTCTGAGGAGCATGTATTTTCTTCCCAGTGCCACGACAGGTTTGGTTTTTTTTTATTAGTCATCTTGGTTCTGATAACTGTTCCAGTCCTGGGCTTTTCTGGAGTTTTGAAATCTGTCCGAAATCCACAGTCTGATATCAGTCTTGGCATACAGTATCTGTGCTAACATCTAGCTCTGAACAGGGTATTTAATTGCTTTTATTAAGGTTAAAATTTCTGTTCTGCTAGCTTAAGATTTTTGTGCTCTTTATTTAGCATCCTAGCCAGATGATGAGTCTGAATGCCTAGATCTGTAGCAAATGCAGTAACACATTTTGTGCATGATGACATTTAGCAGATGGTTTAGATTACTTCTGTTGTTATGCCTTTGTCCTTGCCACCTTATTAAGATACCATTGCTTGAACCAGTTTTCAAACTCTCTTTCACGTGCTGCCAGACTGAAAGATGACATGGTTTTGATTCCTGTGGGTTTGAGTCCTGGCTTATGACTTTGCTGTTGTCTGACATGATTACTTATGTAGGTCGCTCTGAAAGTAATGCCTCCTATTTATTTTCATGGAAACTACAACAGATACAAAGAGCGTAATAACACAATTTGGTAGAGCAAATTCTCAGCTACAAAACAATGTTTTTCAACATAGTCAGCAGCAATGCATTTTTGCTAGCAGTGGACAAGAGCCTGCATGCCTCACTTGCATTAAAAAAAATAATAATAATAAAAATCTGCACCATTGGAGATGACCACTGCCACCACTACTTAAATGCACCACCCACCACCTTACTGTGCTCGCATCCACTGCTTGGTCTCAGTAAACATTCAGCAAACATGAATGAGTGTTAGTGGGTGTAATTTTTTCTGCTGGGAGGAATTCATTGACACACCTTTGTTTCATATGCCCTTCCATGTCAAACACCATTTTGTCAGGCTGTCCCTCTGCTGCCAGCACAGCAACAAAATGTAATGGAATCTTGATGGAAGGTTCAGCCTTTATTGTCGTACTACCTGCCATGCCTCTGACATCATGGGCCAACATAATACGATAGGAGGCATTACTTTTGTAATTTTGTAATTTTTGTAACTTGTAATGTTACAAATGGACTGCCCAGGGAGGTGGTGGAGTCACCGACCCTGGGGGTGTTCAAGGAAAGGCTGGATGTTGTGTTGAGGGACATGGTTTAGTGGGAGCTATTGGGAATAGGTGAACGGTTGGACTGGGTGATCTTTTAGGTCTTTTCCAACCTTGGTGATTCTATGATTCTATGATTCTATGATTCTAATTTTATCTTTTTAAGGAATAACTGTGTGCTACAAGTTTCATAATTTCCTTTGAGAAATGACTTTTCTCTAGTCACCTTCCCTCCAGATTTTGAATGCCTTGGGCTTAAACAATTTCTGCCTTCTGTAATAGTTGCTATAATATGGTTCTATTCTAAAAGAATCTGATGTTCTAGCTGGATTTGTTCTCCTGTCACAACTATGAGGTTACCATGACATTCAGGCTGACCTCATCAGGGACAAAAATCTGTATGCGTTATGGCAGATAAGTTTCTGCTTGTGAATACAGCTCCTGTAGAAAATGGCAGGATCACAACGCGCTACATGAGAACGTAAACCTAGAATTTTCTTAAGCAGAGGTATCTAACTACTATCAGAAAAAGAGGGTCCTAAATAAAAGTTGCCAGGATCTCTGTGGGCACAAAATAAACATCAGTGGGTGTTTTGGGGTGAGTAACATTAGTTTTTATTTTCTTGATGTGTAGGTAGGGGTTGGTAATACAAATTCCAGAACAAATCTTTTAGCCTTTATGTGTATGTATGTTATGTATGCGTGAGGGAGGAAATAATCACATATTACATTGTTACAATACTAGATGACAGGTGCTGGAATAGTATGAAGTGGTGCATTCAGAGCTCACCACATACCTTGATACTACTTCTAGGAGCATTCTAAGACCAAGCAGATGAGTGGGAGTGAGCCTAATCTTTCCAATGTGATAGGAGTGAGCTTTCCTATGTGAGCTGCATATCGTATAAAGGTAGCATTGTTCTGCTGTTTTTAATTCACTTTTGACATGCTTGGCCATTGTTGCACAGGGGAGAAGCCGTCCCACTAAAGTTAGTCTTAGCAAGAACCTAATTAATTGTTACCATGAAAAGTTTGCAGGTAGGTTGGTATCCAAACTTAAGGAGACTTCAGGCTTTAGAAAAAATGCTGAGTGAGCATGGTAATAACAAACATCACTGTCTTAATAAGACTTATCCTCATGCTTGGACTTCTGGCTCTTTACTACTTAATGAGAAATCTTATTAAATGTCTTGTGACTTACCATTAAGGCCTTATTAATTTAACAACAAATCCCAGTATAGTGGGAAGAGTTTGGATCAACTGATATTGCTCTATCATAAAGTAGAGCAGAACTATGATTGTGCTATTTATATAGGCAAAGCCTACTTCACTGTAGCTCATAATTGTCTTGGTTAGTGTTGGTCTAGTTCTGTAGTTCATTGCTGTAATAAAATGCAACCAGAGCCAAGGAGGAGTATTAGGAGGAACAGGACCCAGGAGGCTCTCATGGCTGCTTGGGGATTCAGAACCTCAGCTTTTGCTGTGTATGGAGAAAGAAGCCACTCCTGCACCTTCCATACACAGTGTTTCTACTTCAGACAAATGAGACCCAAAACCATTAATGACTGGGTTTCTTCTCTTCAATGCAGTTTTCAGTCTTTGTTTTCCTTGAATCAGAATGCTTTCTCTGTAGCAGTTGGTCATAATGATGTTTGCCAACTAATTTCTTGCAGCCCTGATATTAGGACTACACTGTTCTTGCAGACCACTGTTCTAGTTCAGCCTGAAGTACTTTTTCTTTCACAAATTGCACGCAAGATGGGACAGCCACTTTTCTCCTTCATTTATGTACATCTTTGAGCAATGCAATTTCAGGCAATATCCCTCATTCTCCTCCTGTCTAGAGATATGGGTGAGGAGTCCAGTGTTGTCTTCTTAACTCTGAAATGTCCTCAGAGTAACTTAGTTTTCAGCATTTTTCAACAGCCATTACAGCATCTGTTGTCTGCTGCTTGATCACAGATTCTTTCTCTTAAAACTAAAATGTGGAATTGATCTTAAAACCAAAAAAGAAAGTGGCAGGCTCAAAACTGAAAGCAGTGTCTAGAAAACCTAGGAATTCGGTGTAATAGTTGCTACTTATGCAAAACTTTCCTGGCTTTATATCTAAGTTGTCTTCAAGATGTAAGTGCCCTTAATATCTATTCAGTATGAGAAGAGTTGAGGAGTTTCAGGACCAGAAGGAGGTGAGACAAGCTACCATGACAGCCTTTGGGCACCAATAATATGTTGTGTGTCTTACCAATAGGAGTGTTAGAACAGCTTTTGCTTTGCCCAGCTCCCTCTGTGTGGCTGGAGTACTCTGCCTGGACCTGAGTTCTCATCAGAAAGGCAGTAAGCTGAGAAGTAACTCAGGCTGGCACTTGGGTCTGTGCAGAGGGCTGGCTGCCTGGTCACAGATGAATCAAACCTACGTGTTCCATTTGGTCTCCTACCCTGTGTCAGTCTGACACTTGGTATCCCTTACAGATCATCTCTGTGCACAATCTCAGGTGTGTCCCTGCCTTTGGCTTTCAGTACAGCTTGGTGATGGTGCCACTAATTTGTCCTGTGCAAGGAAGAACAAGGGATTCATCTGCATCTCGGCATCACGCTGCTGTCACAGGTATGTGCATTAAGTATTGTTTCTTTTTTTTTTCTTTTTTTTCTTTTTTTTTTTCTTTTTTTTTAATCAAAAAAGGATAGGCAAAATACATTGATTTGAACATACAAGGTATATAGGATTCATCAGCTGTGATAAAGCCTGGATTAATTTCACGCCAATGACACTAATTCTCTCTGAAAGTCACCATCCTGCTTGCATAGTTTTCTTCCATTCTAGAAGAAAGGCTTTTGGTTAACATAATGCTGTTACATCTGGGAACAAGGCTTAAAATAACACCAACGTTCAGCTTGGCAGCCTCTGGCGACTGCACAGTGGATTCCCAGGAAAAAACTGTTTCCATGCTCAAACTGTATGGGAACATTCCTACCAGTGCAGAGGTATTGTTAATCACATTGTCCTGCACCAGGCTGTTAAGGAGGTGGATTTTCCATAAAAAGACAACCCAGGTTATAGACAACAGGTATGTGCTGCGGTGATGGTGGGTGATTCAGGCTGTGATGGACTGTGTCCTAAGAACTTGAAGAACAAAATTTTCTACAATGACTGCTTCATTTTTTCACTTTAATGCTGGAGAAAATTTACCACATCCACATTTGAATGCTATGCTCTGTCAGTGACAGACCAAAAATAAACGATAAATACATCATGTATTTTAATGCATGTATACTAGACGGCATGGAAAAGAAGCCTTGCTCAGGCAGGTCCATGGCTTTAATTTGCTTCAGGCCATTTGATAACCAGCCACTGTGCTTAGGCACCAAGTGCTGTGTGGCTGTGTGCTACACAGATGTGGTTTCAGCACTTATCCCAGTCAGTCACACAGAAGCTGCCACCCCATGCAAGGGAAATTGTTAGTCTTACCTGGGCATTACAAGGGGTTTAGTGCACAGCTCTGCTCCCAGCCCTGCCGCACAACTGCTTACCCCTGTTGAGCTAGGTAAGTCCCATGGGCTTCTATTTTCCTCCCTGCAAAAAGCAAACAAAAAAAACCCCACAAACCAAAACACAAGCCTACTGCTCCCTATCTAAAGATGCGTGAGGATAATGCAGAGTCATGTCCCCTTACTGGAAGGTGTGATGGTGGAGTTTAAGTGTAGCACACTGCTTGCTCATTATTCTGGTAGGCTTCTTGCTCCTGGAGCACACTGCCTGGGCAGGACTAAAGACATCTATCCCACAGCTGACAGCACATTATCTCCAGGGCCATGCATTACCTCTGGACATCCGCAGGAAGTGGATGTGAATACCTTGTTGCATAACCTCCCTGCAGCTTGTCTCAGAAGACCCTGAAAATGTTTTTTTTTTTTTTTTTTTTTTTTTTCCCCATGTTATGTTTTTTGCTAAATTCTTGTCCTAGTCCTTCATCTTTCAGAGTACTCAGCCTTCATTTAAAAATAGATTAAGAGTTTCATGTGCGATTATTAGCAATGCTAAGAAGCAGCTTCTGATGTGGCTCCCTTGGTGCTAACGCAGTGCACCTGAAGTAAGCAGGAGGACTGGTAGTAGCAGGGGTAAGAAGCACGGGCCCCATGGGTGTGTCTGACAGTCCTTGTCACTCACTGTGTATGGCTGGTGGGACAGCAGAACTGTCCCTAGGTGCTGAGCCAGGCAGGGATTGCAGCGGATCTGAGCAGTTCTGGGCTATATGGCATTGGGGGGAGGGCGAGGGGGTTGTTCCTCAGCAGGGGAGCTGCTCGGGCTCATTAGATGTTCACTTAGCAGCTTACGGACAGATAAGGGCAGGAAGCAGGAGTGAGGCTTACATATGGCTGTGTCTTGATGGCTGTCACTGGTAAAGACTTGCTGATCGTTTTCCTGTCACCATCCTCATGCCTCTTTTGGCAGCTGAGAGGTAAAAGGGCTTCTGTATATTGGAAGGAAAAAAAAACAGAGCTTCCATCTGGGATCTGCAGCCTGCATAATTTTAGAGGTGGATGTCGTAAAAGATCCTCAGAAGGAATTTACTCACCTGTAGCCTGTGTCACTGTGGCAGGTGGTCAGGAAAGGAGCATGTCCCCCTCTGTAGTGGAACTCCACATCTTGCTTTCCTCTCATCATCAGGCTGGCAACTTGTGCGGGAATTGCATTTCACTGAGGAGTTGGGGTTTTACAGTAGACATTTGGCAACTTGCCACCACACAGCTCTACTGCCTGCAAAGAGCTGCAAACTGCCAGTTTTGCCAGTGCCACTGAATGTTAGGTTCTTCCCATTCTTGCAGCCAGAGAAGCATTATGCATGGGTCAGGAGGGATCGGTCCCATCCTAGCCTTGTGACAGCACGCTATGAAGCCCTGCATCCCATCACTAGCTCTGGGAGCAGTGAGTTCTCATGTGTCCTGTGTGCGTTTGCAGGATATCATTTGTTATCAGTCAGTTTTGCACCTTGTATAGCAGTGCATCTTCTTTTATTTCCTAGGTAGGAGAAGGAAGTGGTTAAAATGGCCATTTTAGAACAGAAGCTTTGTGATCACGGGGCATAGAAAGTGCAGGCCTACTTGTGTGTATGTGTGTGTGTGTGTGTGTGTGTGTGTGTACACGTGTACTTGCCCTTATTATCCTTGTATCCAGGATCTTTGCAAACTCAATTTAGTATTCCAAGTAAGCCTCTTACATGGGTCATTCTACAATTCACAAACCAAGGCAGTAGGAAGTTAAAAACCTTTTTGAAGGTGCAAGCTTTAAACAAGGCTGAAAGAAGAGTGTTGGAGCACTGCCTCTTAATTCTCTTCTCTGACCACAGCTCTCTCATAGATCTTCCTCAAGTGTTCTTCTGCTTTAGGTATTCATTAGTCTGCTCTCTTGCACGATTAGAGTTGTTTGCAAGGATAATAACATTAAAACAAGATGGCTGGGTATCTCTAGAGGTCTATAGGGAAGCGTATGATGCTCCAGTAAGAACAGTGCTACCAGGAAAGCGATGAATGCTACAGCTAGGTACTGAGTAATATAGCGTAAAAATCTGCCATTTAATGACACATTAAGAAGAAAAATGATATACAAAAGTTGAGGCTACTTTTCTGATAAGTTTCCTAAGAAAATGTTGTGTTCTACTCAGAGGTTTGGTCAAGCGTTTAGTTGTGACTTGCATGGACTTCAGCTAATCAAGCAGAGGCATCTTCTTCAGCATTTTATGTGGCTGTAATCAGAGCTGCATAAAGGTCACAGCTGCGTCATGCCAACATTTGAGGGTGAGAAAAATACTGATAGAAAATCTGTGAGCTGCAGGAAAGATAAAGGGTCAATAATGTGAGGTTTGGTGAAACAAATACAGTATGGATGAATGTTTTCACTCTGTACTATATTTATAAGAAGTTTGTCCCAGATATAGGACGTGGTCTGGAGTTATTCACAGGGATTTGAGGATGCAGTTTCTGGGAAATATGCCATCCTAAATAAAGCTGTATTGATTCAAAGGAAATAGGGAAGTGGTGGTTGAGAAGCAGAACCTCAGGAAAGAATCTGAGCCTAGAAGTAGAGTTGCCTCTGGATTAACAAATAAAACCAACACAAAAGTGAAAAGAGCAAAATACCATTTTGTGGAGAAAGGAGCATCACCTGAGGAAGAAAATCCCATTCTGCTCTATAGCTCCACACCCTTTAAGGCCCAACACAGCAGCTAGAGGAGGTGAATGATGAGGGAGGACTAAAGCCTTGGGCTGTAGCTGTAAATTAGTGTGTCTGCTGCTGTTGGAGCATGGGCAAGGGGACAGAAGCGCAGGGAACAGTGATTTGTCTTTGTGCCCTGGAACTTTGTGCCCTGGAACTGCCCTTAGCCTGGAATCCTTAGCCCCTGAGATCATCTAGTCTAACCATCATCCCATCACCACCATTCCCGCTAAACCACATCCTTCAGTACTACATCTGCACACTTCTTGAATGCCTCCAGGGCTGGTGACTCCACCTCTTCCCTCAGCAGCCTGTTCCAATTCTTCACTGCTCTATCAGAGAAGAAATTTTTCCTAATATCCAACCTTCCATACTCAGGCTTTTAGTTGTGCTAACTTCAGCAAAGGGCAGGGAAAGTAAAATAATTTCTCACCTCACCTGGCAGGCAGATAGATGGTTGTTGTGCTGGGTAACATCCTTTTTGTAGCTGTAGCTGTGGATGGGAAAGGGAGAGGCAAGTAAAGAGCATGGCACAACTAAGGGGGAGAGGAGAAACAACTCATTTTGAATGGCAAGGGGAGTAGGAGATCCCATTTTCTATAGCATGCCCTTCTTTCCCTCTGTCCTTGCCTTCTCTTCCCTATATGCCTTCAGTAAAGATTTCTCTGAGGAGATAGATGATATTCTGGGTGTCACTCCAATAAAGAACCACAGGCTTATAGCAGAGAACAGCAAAATGTGCAAGTATGAGCACTTGAGCAATAGTGCCTGGAGTAAGAGTGAGGGCAGGGTGGGAGTGTCTAAGCAGCTGAGAACTGGCCAAGTAGAGAGCCCCTGCTCTGGGATGTGCACTGTTCACTGCAGCTTCCAGGAGGGATATGCAGCCAGTGCCACAGCAGCAGCCTAGAGGCACTGTAGTATGCCTCTCACGTCGCACATCAAAACATCATGAATTAAAAGCAAAACAAAATACCTCTTTCAAATAGTATTAGCAGTTTTAGTAGCACTAGCTTATTATAGAGTATAATTCCAAAAAGGCACTTTACTTTTGCTGATTTTTTTCTACACCTCTAGGGAATGTCTGTTTTCAGGCCGTAAGACTTCATTTATATTAAGGGTGATGACAAATGGGGGGAAAAAAAAAAGACAGCAGAAATGAAGCATTTAACAGCTTTCTGGATCATACTTTGAGAGTTTAATTTCATAAATTGGTGGGCTTTCCTGCAGCTCAGTTGTGCAGTGCAAAGGCTGTACCCACGAAGATGGAGTCACCCACTCCTGTAAAGTCGTCATAGAGTGGCTTAGGTTGCAGGGACTTCAAAGATCATTCAGTTCCAACCCCAAAGTCAGTAGGGTTCAGAGTAAATGCTGGTAGCCAAAAATACCTTTTTTTT